TTTATGCTTAGTTGTAATTATAGTTCATGAATTCACTTGTAATCAAAAGAAAAATTAGTTTTTGTAACATGCTTGAAGGAAGAAACTCAAACTAACGCTACAACCCTGAGAGACTTGAGCTTTTAACGTTCTTTGGAGAGTTAATAATCTGTGCATTTGTTGTCTTCTAAAGTCGTTGCATGATCTCATTATTCTTTGCTTGGTTACTACTTAGAAGGCGTTTCATCATTTAGTTCCAAATACTAGAACTCATGCCAGTTTCATTCAAAGCATAAAATTGATTAGCATAACACATAACAAGATGAAGTTGTTTGTGAACCAAGAGCCAAATAGCTGTACCCCATGTTCATTTGTTTTGTAGGTTTAAGCCCCGTTGAGCCTTGTTTAGCCTATGTTCTTTGTTAAACCACGTTATCCTTACCTAGCCTAGAATAGGACCATCCATGCCTTTGTTCTTAAAGCATAGTGAACATGACTTAGAATGAATTCCTTTTGATTATTCTTGTGCAGAAAAACAAGTGTGGGGGAAGGGATTTATGTGTGAGAATTTGTGCCAAAAACAAGAATTGGGCACGAGAAAAAAAAAATGTGAAAAGAATGAACAAGAGGTCAAAATAAGTGAGAAAGAACTCACAAGTGTTGGTTGTTGAAGAAAGGGTCCAAAAAGTTAAATTAGACCCTAAGTATTGTGTATTTCATCCCCTTGTGTGTCTAAGTGATTTTCTGCATGCAAAAGTGAATTCTAAGTGCCAAGTTCATTACTTGTTTGCTATTGCTTTAAGAACTTTTGTTTATCCTTAACCTTTCTTTGTTAGCCAATACCCCTTAGCCCCGTTACAATCCTTAACATCTATCTTGAGTGTTATGTATTTCAATATGTGGAGTTTGGGATTGGTTTGAGCATATGGTGTCCCTGGTTCTCGCATCTAAGTAGTAGCATTCCATTCATGAGATCATATCTATAAATGCTTAATCATTCCAGAAAAGTGCTTCTTTTGTTATAACATGTGTGAGTGTTCGTTTTCATATTTACATCAATCTTCTCACATATGCTTAGTATAGGGAGTGTAGTTAGAAAATCTGTGTAAAAATAAGAGTGTATCCAGTAAGGAATTGAGTGGATTCTCTAAGGCATGTTACTACGTCCATAATGTTATTTTAAACGATTAAATGTGAGCTAGTGAATGGTAACTATGATTACGTATATGCTTAAGAGTAGGGATGACTAAAATCTGTGGGAATAATGATCTTTGGCATGTTATGTATCATTGGAAATCCCTGAAGCAAATGTTGGAAGGTTAGGTTATGTTTATATCTTTGTTTTGCTTGAGGACTAGCAAAAGCTAAGTGTGGGGGAATTTGATAGGAGCATATTTATGCTACTTAGTTAGCTTGTTTTCTTGCATTTAATTAGCTAAAACAACAGTTAGTTTAGTGTTTAAAGTCATTTTCGTGCAATTTCAGGTTTTAGTGTCAAAGTATGCAAAAAGAAGCAATTTGGAGCATTCTAGAGCATTTTTGGGCCAAGATTGGATAGTGCAAGCATGGAGGCATGAGGATGGACGAATTTGAAGGCTTGAATTCAGTTAGGGAGCTGCAAGGAGGCCTAAAAACCTTATTTCTAGAAGGCTTTATCTATTCACACATGGTGCCTAATTTCTAGCTTGTCATTAGCCGTCCTACCTTGTCTCCTAGCCGTCCTAGCTTGTCACTAGCCGTCCTACCTTGTCTCCTAGCCGTCCTAGCTTGTCACCTAGCCGTCCTAGCTTGTCACTAGCCGTCCTACCTTGTCTCCTAGCCGTCCTACCTTGTCTCTTAGCCGTCCTAGCTTGTCTCCTAGCCGTCCTAGCTTGTCTCTTAGCCGTCCTACCTTGTCTACTAGCCGTCCTATCTTGTCTCCTACCTTGTCCTAGCTACACACATTATCCTTTAAGTGGTTCATGTATAGAATTTCTAGTACAAAACCTTTTGGTTTCAACTAAGTTCTAAACCCTTCCTAGCCCTATAAATAAGGCAGCTACAAGCATCACAAAGGCATTCAGAAATTTCACAAACCCTTCACATCACTCATTCATCATCAAAATTCGTCCATTCTATTCCAGCCGCATCCATTGACCCCAAAACACCATTCTTCAACCTAGAGATACAATCAGCCATTCCACCACTTCCCAACCATCAAACACTCATCCACACCCATCCTACATCCCTTGCCGTGTCTCTAAACATCCCACAAACCGTTCTACATCATCAAAACGTCCCAGAATTCATCCCCATCCAATCTGCCGCAAGCAAGAGGAAGGAGACAGATGCGCAAAATTGTTTGGTTCTCCATTCTGAGCTGTTGAACGATTTTAGGTGTATTCTCTCTTATATTTCAATGTCTAATTCATGTAATCTCTGTTTTGCTCTGAGTATGATTGGCTAAATTCGTTTTTGGCTAAGGGTGTATTCGAAACCATGGATATATATGTGAAATAAGTTGATTACTCCAGTTATCGTTGCATAAGTCATGAATATAATCTGTTTAACTATGTGATTTAGAACTTATTCTTGTATGTTGATTGAGAGTGCACACTTAATTTGCATGCTTGAATCTGGTGCTAGGATATGAATTTGTTTCACCTAATCGTTATGAGTTTATATCCACAAGTAGTGAAGGTCACTAGTCATGATCGTGTTAAGTAGATTCCTGGCGAAAGTATCATGCTTTTCATAGTTACAATTGCCTTGTCGATGCTTATGATTTCCAATGAACGTAATGATTCTAACTTGTATCTTTATCATGCTGTTCATATAGAGAACTTGTTAGGAATAATTTGGTTGCAATGCATATTCATTCAATTCAATGATCTTAGGGAAATCTTAAGGTTAATTTAAGCGGACCTAATTAACTTGGAGTGTCGAGGTTCATAACTTGTCGAATCGATAACTGGAAGTTGATTTAAGTTGCATATATTTCATGTGTGGAGAAGAATCCCTTAGCCATTCCATTATCCATTGGTTTACATCAATTTGCTTTACAATCTGTTTTCTTTACAATCTGTCCAATTAATTGAATTTCGTCCAAACACAAATCTCCCCCCCCCCCTATTTTGTTAAGTCTTAGGCTTAGAATCTGTCTTATCTTGTGTTTTGAAGCATTTTGAGTCAAGCTCAAACCTAATTTTCGTCCAAAGTTGAGTTTAGTGTCAAAACTGCCCAGTTTGTGTTTTTAGACAGTTTTAAGAGTTTTTAGCTTGTTTTGAGTCTTGTGAATCTGTTTTGAGTCCCTTGAGTCTTTTCAAACATTTTTAAGTTTATTTTTTGTGTTTCTAAGTCAGTTTAGAGGTTTTAGCACCCCTAGTTAATCCCCGGTTAGAACGATCCCTACTTACTTCATTACTACAATTGTCACAAATAGGGTTTAATTTGTGTGTCAAGTAATTTTCACAACAACACTCAGACAACCCTTAGAAAGCCAAAACAGTTTCGTGATGTCATGCTCAAATCATCTGAACTATGCCTTTATCAGGAAACTAAGTGGTCTGCTTTAGTTTTGCAAAGGAAAGTTAGGAAATGAGAATGTAGAAAAAATAGGGTACATGAAAAAATGAGGGGAGAGGACTTAATTGTTGCATGTTTGAAATCAAGTCAAACTTGATCTGTGAAGTTAGGGGAGAGGACTTCAGTTGTAATTGTAAGGGACATATACAGGATTGGATTGATAGTTATGAGGAATTTATGCTGCACAATGCTTTATGGAGGTAATGTCATATCCAATATAATCATATTACTTTGGAACCTTCATAATCAATCAAACTATATCGTTCGATTGATTGGCTCTTGGTATCCAGACTCTTGCACGGGCCAAACAGTTTTTGCAAAATATGTTCATATGTTAGTCACGTATGTGGTCTCAGTTATTCTTAATCTCTACCAACCTACTTGCCCATTGTCTGCATTACAGTTTCTATGTTATTGTTGGCAATCAAATGCTAATAATACTCTGTTTAACTTTTGAGAGGCAAGGGTTTGTGCCTCGTGGTTGTTTATTAGTCTTCTATTTTTCATTATGAGACATGACTGATCTTACTTCTACTTTCCTAATTTTTCATATTAAATGTTAGTTTGTTATTGCAGGTATATCCGCTTACAACTTGCCATATTCTAGCACTCTAATCAATGCAGTTGGGAATTTTGTGGCACATAAATAAGCTGAGTTGCTGGTTCCTTTTTGGTAGCCAACGTTTCTTGAGGACTTCATTCCTTTTTTTTTCTTATGCTAATGTTCTGTCTCTATACATAAAAATTCGTTCTTTTGGTTTTCATCATTGCTTAACTATAATAAAATATAACATGATAGTTATATGGACTAGTATGGTCCGGTCCATACACTGGCACTGGATCATATGGCTCAATGGTTTTAGGCTAAGAAAGCAACGTCCATAAACATTATATATTATTACTTCCTTTTAATTTCAATGACTTACTTCATTAGTCTAAACCAAACCCTCCAAGTGAACTATTTTGCGTTGTATAGTTTGTTGGGCCTTGCTTTTTATTATACATTATATTATCATTATTACCAAGTCCAAGTATCTAAAATGAATTTAGCGTATGTTGATACTCCACTCATTCATGTGTTGTTTTTTTTGCATGTGAAGGTATGGATGAATATGAGACTCAATTCTTTGTTCTTTTGAACGTTTGGATTATAATGGCACAAGTCTTTACTATGAATGCACAATTGTTGAGGTATAGACAACAACAAAGGAGACAACGGGAAATAGCTAGTTTAGAGTAGAGGACATTTGTTAGACTTCATGTTAGGAGAGAGGAAATAAATCGTATCACGCGATTGAGTGATACTAACTGTTTGTGGGAGCTACGAATGGATAGGAATGCATTTGCAGTTTTATGTGATTTACTACAAACTCGTGGTGGATTGGTAGATGATGGTCATGTTACAATAAAGGAGCAAGTAGCTACTTTTGTTAACATATTAGCCCACCACAATAAAAATAGGTCAATGCAAGTTAGATTTTTTTAGGTCTGGTGAAACTATTAGTCGATATGTCCGTAGAGTATTGTGTGCATTACTCAGTTTGCAAGATGTGTTGTTTGCAAAACCAACCCCTATCCCAGAGGATTGCACGGAATCGAGATGGAAATGCTTTAAGGTAATAATCATAGTAAAATCATTAATAACATAATTATTTGTAATTGCTAATTAATATAAGTTTTTCTTTTGTCTAGGGTTGCTTAGGAGCGCTAGATGGAACATACATAGGGGTCACTATGCCTGATGTCGATAGACCAAGATATAGAACAAGGAAGGGTCATATAGCAACTAATGTGTTAGGCGTATGCACACACGACCTCAAATTCGTATATGTGTTATCCGGTTGGGAGGGATCAGCTACTGATTCGAGAGTTCTTGGTGACGCTGTTACTAGAGCTAATGGCCTCAAGGTCCCAACTGGTAAGATAAACAAGCACCTAGTATTTTTCCTTACCTTTGTTGGCCAACAACTAAAATTTATTATCAATTAATATAGGTACATATTATTTGGTTGATTCCGGATATACGAATGGTGAGGGTTTTCTGGCACCGTATAGAGGCACTAGATACCATTTGCAAGAGTGGGAAAACAATTCACGTGCACCTAGGAATCATGAAGAATATTTTAATATGAAACACTCACGTGCTAGGAATGTCATTGAGAGATGTTTTGGCCTCCTCAAACGACGTTGGGCTATCTTACGAAGTCCTTCCCACTATCCAATCAAGATTCAGGGACGAATGATCACCGCATGTAGTTTACTTCATAATTTTATCAGAATGTATATGGCAGTTGATCCTGAAGAAAATGCAAGGCTTGCATTTGATGAATTACCTATAGGGGAAGATTTACCAGAAGTATTAGCCTACATTGAAACTGTTGAGTCAAGCCAAATATGGACTCAATGGAGGGATGATCTTGCAAGAGAAATATATGATGAGTGGAGAGGAAGGAGGGCTTGAAAATTGGTTAACATGGTAGTTGTTGTAGTTGTCTTTTAGATGTGGACTCAATTTAGTTGTTGTAATTGGCTTGAAAATTCGTAACATCAAGACTATTGAGATGTTTGTTATTGTAATATGGTAATTGGGAGTTATCTAGATGTTATGGCTTATTTGATATGTTTATTTGTGTTACTAAATTTTAATAAATTTTAAAATTAGGGTGTAGTCATTGTCATTTAATTTGGCTTATTTGATTTGGTAATTGATTAGTACAACTAATATAAATTTAGTCATTGTCATTTGATTTGGCTTATTTGATTTGGTAATTGATTAGTACAACTAATATAAATTTATTTGTGTTACTTGTGTAATATATGGCGTATTTGATAGATTATATGGCCACCTCACGTAATTGGATTGATCATGAGGAGGATGTACTACTTACCATCCTCGAGGAGATGGTTGCTGATGGTGTTAGGTGTGAGACCGGCAATTTTAAGGCTGGTACTTTTGTAACGGTTGCCTCCAAGATGAAGGAACAGATTCCTGGCATTAATATAGAGCCGAAGCATATACAAAACAAATTGAAGCGTCTGAAAGAAAAGTATTCGTCTGCATATGACATGATGAATACATCTGGATTTGGTTAGGATGATGAGAAAAAATGTGTTGTTGTGGATAGTGACGAAATACTACAGGAGTGGGTGAAGGTAAATTTTTTTTTCTTATTCTTTATCAATTAGTTGCTTTGAAAGTCTTAACCTTGATTTCTTTGGGTTCTTATTGTAGAAACATCCCAATGCATCTTGCAAACCAAATAAGCCATTCCCGTTGTATCCACGGCTATGTAAGATGTTTGGGAAAGACCGAGCCACGGGTAGCATTGCTGAATCAGCGGCAGATGCAATTGAAAATATGGGTTTGGAAAGTGAGGATTGTGAGACTTTTGAGATACCTCCGCTTTCACCTACCCCATCTCCTTCTGTTGCTACATCTAGTGCTTCTCAACCTGTTAGGAAGAGGAAGAGGAGCAGGAATGATGGTGATGCAAATATTGTATCTGTTATCAGTGAAGGTTGGAATAAAGCTGTTACTGAAATGAAGAAATTAGGTGAAAGTTTTACTTTTAGAGAAGCAAAAGCTAGACTACCTTCTGAGCTTCAGGCCATGGGTCTCCCATATGATCAGGTGTTAAGAATTTCAATGAAGTTAGTGAAAGATACCGATATGATGGGTATTTGGACCACCTTGGATGACTCACAGAAGCCAGATTTCATTAAAGTGTTTATGGAGAGCCTTTGAGGTTTTAGTATTTGTGGTTTTAGTATGGGGAACTTTGTCAACTTCTAAGTGTTTTCATTATTACTTTAGCAAGACATTATTTGTTTTTTAAGTCATGATGAATGTTTGATTTCGGATATTTCATGTTTAAGTTATGCATATTTCATTTTCTTTGTTTAAGTTCTAAATGTTTAAACCCTAAAATGTTTACGATATGCATGATCATTAAACTTATATATTTTTCAACATTTGTCATGTGCTCTTATGTGGTTTGCCTTGTTCCTGCAATGGGGAATATTTAGAGGGGTGTCCTTCTAAACAAGGCCAATTCTAATGTTTGTAGAACCTAAACTCCCTAAACAACAACCCACAATTGAAAGGACCAAAATTAGGGACTAAAAATTGAATTGGGGTGTGGGTTTTGCAATTTACACAATAAAATTTGATGGGTTTGTGGTGAAAATTCGAATGGAGGTGTAGAAAACGGGAAAAATTACAAATTTTAAAGGGGTTTGCATGTGAAACACAACATATACCTATTAAAATTTGGACCAAGAAAAACAAATAATGGATAATAGTGTTCAAATTTGAACAACTTATTAAAAAAAAAAAAAAAAAAGTCATGTCCCGTTCCGCCCATAAAATTGTACCAAACAACAGCGGAACATGGGTATTTTAGTCATTTTAATATTTTGGTTCCGTTGCGTCCATGTGCTACCAAATGCAAGACGGAACAACCGTCTCGTTCCGTCCTGCGCGTACCAAACATAACACAGAACATCTGTTCCGTCCCGTCCCGTCTGCGTACCAAACGCTACCTTATACCAAAAAATCACCTTTGTCTTTTCTACTAGCTTCACTAAATCAAATTATTTACATATCGAGTGAAATACGTTCTCGGATTTCACTATTGTAATTTACGTATTTCGTATTTGCAGGATTTTATATTATTTCTTTTCGTTCATATTAGAGCTTTAGTTAACTCATTACAAAGTTTGAATTTTTTTAATTAATTATTAAAATTCTATAGACTTTTCAAGATAAACCTCAGTGTTTTCAAATAGATCTCTATCCCACGAACGCGTGAACGAAAACCGTTTGCAAAATAGAGCTTTAATGAAGAAATTACTAGCCACTAAATTCAGGGGCATTTTTGTCTATTGACAGAGTCCACATAGGGAATACCCTAAAAGGATGGAGTGGCATTTCCTCTTTTAGAAAGTTAAACGGCAACAGACGTGGAGGAGAGGTGATTGATCACGACCCAGTTCCTTAAATGCCGATTTCTTCCTTTTCCTACACCTATGATCATCGCCACCACCACCAAAATGCAGCTCGTGACCCCAGGATCAATACCCTTCCAAGATTCACTTAAGAAACGACTAAAGGCGGTGATTTGAGGCCACATTGTTTAAGTGATGCAACGAGTTTCTCGCCTTTTTTCGGCAAGCTCGCAAAACGACAATAACCCAAACAACTTGGGATCAACTCACCTCAGCTCTAGCTACAAACTCTAGGCTTAGCTCCTCGATCAGACGTCAAACGACAACACACCGTGCATGCCCTGTTCATAATTTTTGAGGGACTTCTAACAATTTCATCGTCTTCCATCCACTTTTAGACTTATGTCAGGTATAAAACTTACTCCACTTGTCACGATATTTGTTTTTGTGTATTTATATGCATTTTGATGTTGGTCTTTAATTCCGGCGAGTTATGTTTCTAAGTTAATATTGATGCCCTGAATCTGTTTCCAATATCTAGTTGGTGTGCTTTCATCGTTTGAGCCTAGTTGCGTAAATGGCCGCCATTAAACCTTTGTGGCAGGCGAAGATTTAACCGTTGGATCATTATGAAATTTTAATATATTGTTGTGCGCATTATTTGAGGATCTTAAGAACTTACATATTGGAAATACAATATATGGATCTACCATATTGGTTTATATAGGGTTGTTGACCTTACCAATGACAACGTTAACCAAGGGTTGACTTTTGATCAATTGTCTCGAATTGGTCTTAAATACTGAAATTAGAATTACAAGAAACTTGATAAGAGTCTTATGGGCCTACAAGTGGCACCTTATCAGAATTTACCTATTTATTGAGAAAACAATGATAATGTGTAGATTCTAGTATGAAGAGATAAGTCAGGGACCACATTAGAATTATTCTGCATATCTTATATGTCAGTTTGATTTAATATTGGTTGGCTAGATGTATGTGTGCTTGCAATTGTGATTCATGGTGAACTTGATTAAATGTGGTACATGGATGATTCTGCCTAATTAATTTGGTTAGTGGACCTTGTTCTTATGTTTATGTCTATTGCACATTGTCATGCCTGGTTAATCTGCATTGGAGATTATACGCATCCTAGGAGTAACTTCGCCTAGTTAATTCTCATTGGGGTGTCATTGCTTACTTGATCTCATTATACCCATAGGTGGTTCTGCCTAGTTAATCCGCATTGGGCAATCATACTATTGGATGCATGTCTATGGTTTTGCCTGGTTAATCTGCATTAGGGATTATATGCATTCTAAGAGTGACTCCACTTGGTTAATATGCATTGAGGCATCACTGCCTACTTGATCTCATTATACACATAGGTGGTTCTGCATGGTTAATCCACGTTGGGGAATCATACTATTAAATGCATGCATATGGTTCCGCCTGGTTAATCCACATTATGAGACCATACGCATTCTAGGAGTGACTCCGTCTGGTTAATCTGCATTAAGGGACCATACGCACTCCAGAGTTAGTCTAGAATCCCTTTCCCTAATTGGTTCCGTTAAATGGTTCAGAACCTTATCTTCATTGGATTCTGTTGAGTGGTCCAGAATCCTTTTCCCTAATCGGTTCCATTGAGTGGCCCATAATCCTATCTTCTTTGGATTCCGTTAAGTGGCTTGGAATCCTTTTCCCCAATCGGTTTCATTGAGTGGTTTGAAACCTTATCTTCGTTGGATTCCGTTGAGTAGTCTGGAAGTCCTTACCATAATTGGTTTTGTTGAGTGGCTCAAAACCCTATCTTCATTGGATTCTGTTAAAGTGGTCTGAAATTCCTTTCCTTAATCAATTCCATTAAGTGGTCCGGAACTTTATCTTCATTGGATTCAGTTAAGGAGTCTGAAATACCTTTCCCTATTTGGTTTCATTGAGTTGGTCCAAAACCCTGGATTCCTATGAGTAGATGTTGCTTAAAGTTGTGTTTGTAGTTTAAGGTTAAACTGTTGTTACTTAACATGTTGAATGAAAAGATTACAATATGTTTATAGGTTTAGAAGAGAAAATGTATTGGTCATTTGATTGAGTTGAGGATGACACACAAAAGATTTGTCAACCATAATTTTTTAACGCAATCTCAATTGGTTGGTTGCCCACATATATTAACTTTGAGGAAAGGTGCTTCAACCATGTTCTAACATATATTCTAAAGTTGGTATTGGGTAATGGTATATGATTAAGATTACTGTCATAGTTCATACCAAAAATTTTAGTGACGCCGAAATTCTAACTAGATTTTGCTAGAACTAAGGACTATCTACCAACAATCAATATGAAGATTATTGATAATTTGATATTGCTAAGATTCCATTTGAACTTAAAAGCTAGAAGCTTCCAATAAAATTTAGGTTTTTCTAACAAACTATCATTATAAACAAATCTCCAAGTAAAACAATAACACATACATGTATGTACCTTCCAAATCATGTTTTCAGTTGTGGACAATCATATGTGGCTTTATGAGAGGAATTCTCAACGTCAACCACAAATGTGTTGGTAAGAAAATGTTGGTCCATTGATCAACAAAGTGTATTTATGCGGAATATAGGTATACAAAGAAGTCTAAATCGGCTAATGATGATGATTCTTAATAAATAATAACAATATTAATTACTAATGATAACTTCTCATTGAGTTTCAATTTTTTCACTGTTGTTTGTAGATTGACAACGAATCTCTGAATTGCATCAAATGTAAACAGATTGGACGAAAAGTGTGTGGTTAATATCAACATATAAACTAATTTTTTAGGAACTACCAGCATGTAGACTTTATGAGTATTGTGTAAATAATGTACACACAAATATCTAGACTTTATATTTTCACACTTAAAGCTGGTTCATCCTTTGCTACTAATATAGTGCTATCATGGGGTTTCAGCGTTGGGTATGTTACGGAGACTAAATTGTAGATCAAATTTGTAAATCAAATGATATTGAAGTTGATGTTCGGATTATTATCTAAGTGTTGATTAACGTGTTTATTTCTTATCAATGAAACATAATTTAATTTGTAAATTTAGTTTACTTGGCATTGCTCTTTGACTTGTGATAAAACACCAATCAAAATCATCCAATATTAATAACCGTTGGGGAAGTTGGCAGAGTCTAAAGCCTAATGACTATGGCACCCAACTCAACCATAACTGCACCCATTAATGCCCTTTATGTGTGTTTTTGTTTTTTATGCTCCTCATCCTGTCTCTGCTGTCACGCTTTCTCCTTTCAATGATTCAAAGCTTCTTCATGCAAGTTACATTTTTCTGACCTCCATTGCACTGTCGGTGTCTGTCCGGCTTCAATTTTCCAGCATGATATCCACCGTCAATGCTGGCGGGTCTGGACTGATAGGAATTTAAGTGAACAACCCAAAACAACTTTATGACCGGAAAGCCTTATCCGACAAGGTTGGCTTTTTTATTGGACTTTCTTTTTCTTGTTATTTAATTTATGAGCTTTCACATAGTGTTTTTTGAAATTTATGGTTTGGTAGATGAACAACCTCAGGCGGAGATAACAATGTCACTATTTGAATATTTGGGCTTTATTTTTTTTTTTTTTGGCATGTTCTTTGGAACTCTTAAATAAAAATGAAGAAAGATACTTGCATGCATAGAATAAAGTCCTATCCTTTTTCTTGTTTGTATCAGTTTCAGCTGGATTTGGTTAGCAACAAATCTTGATTGGTGGGTCGGAAAATCTGAGTGAAAAGATGAATATTGTGTATTGGGAGAGAAAGATGATATAAATACCAAAGGTGGGTTGTTGTTGAAATCTGTCTAGTTTGAGAATTTTTCAAGTTCCATGGAATTATAGAAGATCCTGCATAAGGAAGTAAGTAGTTGGGAATTTTGGTTTTCTGTGTTCTTTTTGACAGTTGGAGATGGTGGGGAGCATTGAGGCTATGAATCGTAATTTATACCCGAATGGATCTGTTCAGAACTTTAATGCATTGGAGGAGAAGCTTGACGAGCTCCGAATCCGCCTTGGAAAGGCTAATGGTGATCCTTTGAGAATTGTTGGTGTCGGTGCGGGTGCATGGGGCAGTGTTTTTGCTGCTGTGTTGCAGGATAGCTATGGTCAATTTCGAGACAAGGTTCAGATAAGGATATGGAGAAGAACGGGAAGAGCAGTTGATAGAGCCACAGCTGAACATCTTTTTGAAGTGATCAACTCGAGGGAGGATGTGTTGAGGAGGTTGATCCGGCGTTGTGCGTATTTGAAATATGTGGAGGCAAGGCTGGGGGATCGAACTCTTTATGCCGATGAGATTTTGAAAGATGGATTTTGTTTGAACATGATCGATACCCCTCTGTGTCCCTTGAAGGTTGTAACCAGTTTACAGGAGGCTGTTTGGGATGCTGACATTGTGGTGAATGGCTTGCCATCGACGGAAACAAAAGAGGTGTTTGAAGAGATAAGTAATTATTGGAAGGAAAGAATCACAGATCCGATTATCATCTCTTTGGCCAAAGGTATTGAAGCTGCACTGGAGCCTCTCCCGCATATCATAACTCCCACGCGAATTATTCACCGGGCGAGTATGTTCCTTTTCTTTTAAATTTAACTGTCACCCTTTAGCACGTTGGGTTTAACTTTACAGTATGGTGGAAGAAAGGAAGGAGAGATGGTTTATTTGATCTGGTTTTATCTTTAGCTGAATTGGTAAATGTTTAATGTATTTTCGCAGGGTCAATCTTATGGAACTTTTTACATGGATTATTACGTTGTTCCTTTTCATATCTACACGAATTTTAAGTGTTATTGCATTTTTAAAACCTGATAAATCATGTTGATTGTTTATGTTTCAACTTTCAACTAACATTGCATGGAAATTGGATGATCATACGTTACTTACACTTTTCCTTCACTGTTATAATGTTATTTCGACTTCACATTTCCGCTCATTCTTTTCTGTACGACTCGCAGCTGGTGTACCTATAGAGAACATACTTTATTTGGGTGGCCCAAACATTGCCTCAGAGATCTACAACAAGGAATATGCTAATGCTCGAATATGCGGAGCTGAGAAGTGGAGAAAACCTCTTGCAAAATTCTTAAGGCAACCCCATTTTATTGTCTGGGACAATAGTGATCTTGTTACACATGAAGTCATGGGTGGCTTAAAGAATGTCTATGCCATCGGAGCAGGTAAATCTACAATTCATTCTGATAGATCTATCTCAAACAATAAAGGCAGCGTCTAATAAAAAGGAATGAATTTTAGGTGTCATAGATTGAAGGTAATTACAAGGAACTTTTTCTGGTACCAATCATGTTAATGTGCAAATGTCCTTTTTCAGAAACATGAAAAAGGGATAAAGGGAATGAGATGTCAAATTTTCTGCTTGGTTATTGTTGTTCATCTTCATTTCAGTGGTGGTAATTTTTGTTCAGCTTCATCAAATTTCGGAGCTACGCACACCTGATACGTGTTAATTAATGAGGACAATCTGAAGAGTAGTTTGCTTTTATATGATTTGGAGTCCTGTTTTTACAAGAACACTACTCATCAAATCTGTCATCATTAACACGGTATCAGGTGTATGAAGCTCTGAATTATTCTAAGAGGTTATCCTGATTCCCTTATTTATATGCTAGTGCCTGTACGAATTTCATGTTTGTCCTGGCAAGAATTTGTTCAGGCACTTCAAGAAAATTTGTGCTGGAATAAACATGAGATTTGTTTACGAACTGTAGTTACCCCACATGCTAAGCGAAGCTTCCAGGAAGTGTAGGAAACAATACAATTTCAAATTTTATGGTATACATACTGTAGTAGGATGTCATAAATGAACCTTCTGATTTGCAACTTGCAGCCGTTTTTTATTTTAATTTTCTCAGGGATGGCAGCAGCTCTCACAAAGGAAAGTGCTACCAGCAAATCTGTATACTTTGCACATTGTACCTCGGAGATGATATTTATCACTCATTTGTTGGCGGAAGAGCCTGAGAAACTTGCAGGGCCTTTGCTGGCTGACACATATGTAACCCTGTTGAAAGGTCGCAATGCGTGGTACGGGCAAATGTTAGCCAAAGGAGAACTAAACCGCGATATGGGTGAAAACATCAGTGGCAAAGGAATGATTCAGGTATCAGTTGTTATTTTCATTTCAAGAAGATGTATGACATTATATTAAAGTGCAAGAATCTACGAAGAATGTGAATACTCCTGTGTAAGGGCACTAGCAAATATCTGGTCTCACTAAAACGTGCCCTTGTCATTCTGTTGAGGAATTTATTCGGATGTGGTTAAAAGCACTTTTCTTCTAACTTGTTACTGATCAATAACGCTCTGTCACCTCTCCTTCTAGGGTGTCTCTGCAGTCAAAGCATTTTATGAACTTCTCAGTCAGTCGAGCCTAAATGTCTTGCATCCTGAGGAAAACAAGCCTGTTGCTCCCGTAGAGCTCTGCCCCATCTTGAAGACGCTATATAAAATATTGATAACAAGGTAATGTCCTGCAAACTTATCATTTCCCTTTTTTTTTTTTGCCGCACTCAAGTATAAAAAAATATTGACCATGAGAAAATTAACTAAGAGGCTTTTGCGTAATTCAAAAGATCACCCTGCATTGCTTAGTATAACCCGAATTATGTTTGGCATTACTTTGTATAACCCGAATCAGATGGTCTGCCAATGCATGTGTTCAGTAACTTTTACAAGTATATGAATCCCTGGCCATGTGTATTGTTTGATCACCAGGGAGCAATCATCACGAGCTATTCTTCAAGCGTTGAGGGATGAAAACTTGAACGATCCCAGGGAACGCATTGAGATTGCACAGAGCCATGTCTTCTATAGGCCTTCCCTTCTCGGACAGCCTTTGACTAGTTTCCGTTTGCAAGATAAAGTGGTAATATAATCCCTGTGAAAGCATGGTATTACAGGACTGCATGGTGGAAATAAGCATGTTGGTTTTGATAAATGTTAATCATATATATAACTTATTTTTGCTTCCTAAGGATACGATAGCTTGCTCTTTGGTCGTGAACTTGCTAGTAGCCCAATTGATTTTCATAGCTCTTGTATGGGAGCTGGATTTGCATTGTATTGTGTATCATATTATTAAGATACAAAAAACCGATGATCACATATTTGTATAGATGAAGGAATACCATTTTCCGACCATACGGAAACAGAAAAACATCGTTTTTAGGTCTTGAGCATCCTTCTTTTGAGTAAATTGCTGCCTAAAATAGTGTAGGTGCTTGTGGTTGCATGCTTATGTACAATGTAAATTATCTCAAGCCCTTGGAACTGAAGGACGAAAACGCTGTCTTCTTGCGTTAACATGAACATTTTCGTTTACAACAAAATAGCTTCCAAGAAATCCAATACTATTTGTCTTGAATGCTTTTGGTAAATTTTGGGATTTGTCATTTCCCGGTGGAAGAGGCTCTTTGTGCTTGGAGGTGGTTCGAGCTGGTTTGGGTGCGAAGTCGTGGTTTGGGTGGCATTTTTAGGAGGAGATTGACTGTTTTAGTCTGGCGTTACCGTCACACTGAAAAATTACTCGTATTACACGTTAAAATAAGAACTGAATGTGAATCAAATATGAAGGAGAACAAAGAAGAATCAATAGTATAATGTCCAAGTTATGATTAAGAACCATTTTCAGTAGACACATGATACATACAACAATTTAACAATATAATTTTAGAGCAGAGCAAGAATTCAAACCCGATTACTGTGATCCAAAAAACGTGCACCAAGTAAAGCCATTTTCCGTTCTTCTCCTTTCAGTGACAATACAATCTAATCACCGAGTCTGCACTGTTATCAGACTATGTTGCAAACAACAGCTATAAGGCGTGTTTTTTTAACAAATGATATTAATTACACTCGGAGGAGGGAATTACACTCTCATAAAAATGTCTTCAAGTTGTCTCATGGACCGGTAGTTGAAGTGAATATGGATGGGACGTGTACAGAGGGGCCAATTGTCACCCCGCACAGAGTACAGGTGGTTAAATGTAAAACATTTAGTCTCATGTGGCTAGTTTCACAAAGTGAAACAATGAAAGTGGCAATTGTGCAATTTCCAAAAGAAGAAAACGAAAACCTTTCGTTCGGGTAAAAAAATATCAGTTGTAATAGTTGAAGCCGTTCCGAAGAACCTGAACACTGCGGCGCCCTATTCTGTCGTATCGGAGAGTGTAGGGCCACCCCACCAACCTCCAGCAATGGCGGAGAGTGAGAGTCGAAGCGTCGCCGAAGAAACCTTGAAGCCCTTTTACCAGAGGGCCTCTGAAGCCGAGGTATGTTTCCCACCTTTTACTTGTAGCCTTGATATCCTTATGCTTCTCAACTCTGCTCAACTCTATATATATATATATAGGCACACATACATGCGTGTATGTATATATATATATATATATATATGTATTTATTTATCGTGAAGGTGGAGCGTTAATGGCGTCAGTAATTGGCGATTTGGGTTTGATTGTTTGTATCTGAGAATCATGGGTTCGATTAGGATAGGTTATATGTTGTAGGTTCTTTAATTAAGAAGATGAAGTCGATTCCCTCTAATGTAACCAAAATAAAAATTTTAGGGTTTCATCTTCATGGTCAGTGGATGAAGATAAGTCTCAATTTCTCTCACTCAGTTGTTGGATTAAGAACTGTTGTGTTTACAAGTCTTCATGTTCAGTGCAATTGTCTAATGCTATTTGAAATATGCCACAAGTCCATGATTGGGAAGAAACGAATGAATCCCTTACTTTTCTGCATAAGTTTGTTTGAAAGAATATCAATAATTTTGTTTCGAGAAGTACAAAACAAAAGGAAACGTAACATTATTTGTAATTCATGAATGCAAAAATAATGTCTACCCTACACATTCCATTATTTCAATGAGACATTGATAGTACCTAACTACTTATAGAGTTGTAGTTGAGAAGCTTTGAAAGCTTTTAAAGCTATAGTTTGATATTGATGGTTTCAGGACCTTGTTCTTAAATTCACAGCTTTCAATAATTGTCGATTCACTCTGACTTTTCGTTAGCCCCCAAGGATTTATTACCACCACATCTGAAAGCAGACTCTATGAAAGTAGGCATAAAACTCTATCGTGCACAGACTAATGATATGCTGATGAATAATATTTGATTGATTATGTATTGTTTGATGATAGAGACTTACCTTCTCCTATTTGGAATAATTTTCTCTTTCATTGCTTTCAATATAGCCCTTATCATTTTTGTAGATGAGATGTTTTCTACGAGAAAAGTATATATTTCTAGTTTATGTAGCATGTTTGATGACTGAAACTTTTGATTTTTCCGCTGTAATCTTGCTAACTTGGCATATTTCTTACATAGGACCGCTTATCAAGGCTTGAAGCTGCCCTCGCAAGCAAGAAGGGTAGGTTTAATGGCACGCATTGTGCAATAGTGTTTTGTTCATGGCCAAGAACACAGGACCTCACTTTTCCTCTTTTCTCTTTTGTTTTAATTTTTTTTGTTGGATGCTGGTTATGGAACCTTGCAGATTCTGCAACTGATGGTTCTTCAAAGGTGATCAACGAACTCCAGTCACAGATAAAAGATGCATGTGCGAAGGTGTCTTTAGAAGAAGAAAAGGTATTATTGCATCAATTGTATCTTTTTTTTTTTTTTTTTTTTTTTTTTGTGGGGGGGTCTCAGTTGGAAAGTACTGAGGAGATCTGAAGATCTTTTTTTGTTCATTTTTGGTGACTTGCAGAACAAGAAGCTTGCTGCTGAAAATGCAAAGCTCCAATACCGCATACAACATCTTGTTCAGGCAGTGAGAGATGGTGATGACAAGTTGGAGAAAATGAAAGTGAGTTATAACTTATAGCTCGTACGGATTTTGTGGAAAAAGATAGTGGTATTTTGTCGTCCTTTCAGATTGGGGATTTGGTTCCTATAGAAAAAATATTCTGATATTTTAGAAAATATAGCATAGCATCTATTCGGGAAAAGAAAAAAGAGATAAAAACTGAATTTATTATTGGACTTGGGTTGATGAGGTCACAATGCTATGCCAACCTTCAGTCGTTCAACAATTTTACTTGAGTTGACACCTTGGCTTTTTGACCATTGGTTTGCTTGCATTTAATCAGGTGCGTCCCATACCTAGTTCCGATGCAGCACCTTAACTTAAGCACCTAGAACTAATACTGGGTTGAGTTAGACCCAGTGGACTCATCTAGGTTTGGGTTTCGTAGCTCTTAGTTGTGGACCACCTACTTGTCGATTGCTGTGATACATCTCCAATGTGGGATTATGCCCATCACGTCCATGGCTTGTTTATCTAGCCAAACAACCCCAACATATAGGTGTTCTTGTTAGCATCACTGGTTTGAGCAATAGTTTTTAGTTACTGGGAAGATTGTTCATTGTGAAATTTTCTTGCGTTTTATATGTGAATCAGTGTGTTGCCAAAATTTCTTGCCTGTGTGCATTCAGAGCGTGTCAAGAGGCCAAAAAATTGTATGATAATATAAATAGAAGTTGAATATCCCTATCACCTGGGTTTTGACTGACTGAGAGTCAAATTTAGAGAGTATGATACTATGAATAACTATAAACACTTTTCATTAGTTTCGCTAAACTCCTCCATTTTCTTTTCGCAAGTACATATTTGCAGCATTGGTTGTTGAAAGAGGGGTCATAAGGATGATTTGTCTTTCAGTTTGATATTTTCAGTCCGTTTTAGATGCTTTTGTTAAGCTTTATACAATACAGCGCATAGTTAATATCTGATTTTGTGCGTGTATGTAATTAATTCCTTTTGTTTCGACAGGTAACGATGCACGAGTAACTGGGGACATGGAAGTCGGATGCATATGATCGTGAACCTATATAATTATTCCTCGCTAACAGATTTGAGCTGGATTTGCTACATTATAAATATATAATTATTGATAAATGTTATACCGCATGATTCCAACATCTTGTACTTATTTTTAGCTTTTGCCTTTCCGGCAGAGAGATGCTAGATTATATAATGTAGCCTTGCTACTTGGGATTCAGGAGATCTCAACCCTTCGTCATATTTCACAATTTTTAAACATAATATGAAATATTCAAGGTTCTAAAACATGCTAGGCTAGTGTCTAGGCGGACTAGACTGATTTAAGCAAATTTATTATACTTATAAAAGTACATAATTTTATTGGGATACATAATTTGTAAAATAAAATGACATATAGATTATAAAGTATGAGAATATATTGAAAATCTAAGGAACAAGCATATAATAAGTATCATCTAAACATTCAACATGTCTCTTACATTTTATTGACAAAAAAAAAATGCAAAATGAAAGATACTAATTTTCTGTCAAAGTGAGGGTTGTGATCCAGACAGGTGTTTAGGCGGATTTAGATGGGCTAAGTGGGTGCCTAAGCGAACGAGGTGGACGCCTAAGCTGGTCTAGGCTCTCTTTTTTAATTTTCAAACACTTAAGGATCAATTGGGGAGGTAGCCAACCGCTTAGTGCCTAGATGGAGATTTTTAAAACAGTCAAAATATTAAAAGATTAGTTTAACCAAGAAAAACATTTTGTATAACAATATTACTTTAAGGTGTGTTGTTACTGACACTCTAAACATGCTCATTAAACACGCTTAAATTTTTTGTGTTTAAAAAGAAAATACATACAAAAATGCAGGATAAAACATTGGGGTGTTGTGAATAATTCAAGGCATTTGCAAGAATAATTCAAGTACATTGTTCCTTGTTGACTCTACTTGAATTATAATTTATTGATAAATACATCTTTGAGTTAGTGACTTGTGACTCACTCATATATTTGAGGACACGAGTCTTGGTGAGTTTGCGCTTCAAGGAGATTGACTAGCCATTCATTCGAGGACACTTTTAGGCATTTCGGAATGAACTTCATCAACATTGTTGTGTTGTTAGATCCGTCCATTTATTAATGAAAACGTTCATGATATACAAGGTGGGTAGAAACATATAACCAGTGGGTGTCAATTGCAATATTTTATCTTTGTTTACGAATCATATTCTACTAGTAATTTTATACAAAATAGGAAGGATGAGGGTTTGAACACCGGATATAATACAATGGAGGAAGAGAAAAATCTTAACTACTAGGCTAATTTTTTTTTCCAAATCCTATGGTATCGCACACATCCCGGAGGAGTTTAAATTTTAAGATTGTCTATCTATTGCACAGATTTCAAATTTTAAACTCATTAAATTATAATAAATAAGACATTGAGCAACACCATCACTTAAAGGTAGTTAGCATAAATATTCCTACACTCTCGGAAGGTTAGGACTAATCCTAGTGGAGCCCAAAAATACAAAAAACATTTCAGCCCAGCTTGATCATAGTAAAATGACACAACTAATCTTCCAAAGCTACCCTTACATTGTTTAATAATTTACAACCTCTATCCATCCAGCTAGGCCTGGCAAACGGGTCGTGTCTATCGTGTTCGTGTCGTTTTCGTGTAACACCTGTTATCTTAACGGGTCGTGTCGTGTCACACCCGTTATCTTAACGGGTCCTTAACAGGTCGTGTCACTTTACCCAACGGGTAAAGTGACCCCACCCGTTATGACCCATTATGACTCGTTAAGAAAAAAAAATATTTTTTTTTAAATTTGCACATACCACACATTGCCATATAAATATTACTTCAAAACATTAAAACATTTCTCGTTCAAGTACTATATCTACACTCGAAAATAAAAGCCTAATAAAAAAAATAATACATACACTACTAATATATTACAAATATTAAATGTGCAAGGATAAAGAGTTTTTGTTTTTAAGATTGTAAGTCTTTCTCAAAAGTTTACACCTCCATTTACAAAATCTTCAATTTACATCGATCATCATGAAATTGTATTCAATTTACACCTACATCTATATAATTATTATAGTTTTTACTTTTTAGGGATATAAAATTATTAAATTAATGTATATAATTATTAATATTATAGTTCATTCATACTTTTATTAAGTATATAAATTATAACATAAGATTTTGTGATATCCACATCCACTTGTGTAAATATTTTAAATTGAAGATCGAATTCATTCATTGTATTCATATAGGGTCAAGGAGTGTAGTTATAAAAAATCATCAAAATCGGAGTTAAAATAACCGTTAAATCGTGATTTTTGTTTATAACCGTTGAAAAGCTTTGTCCCGTTACTTGACCTCTGAATGTTTTTTTTTTTTTGTGATTTTTTGCTGATGTGATCTCCAAGCATATACAAACAATTTTGACGGTTGTGGATCGTTGAAATTAGTTTTGGAGAATTCGTAAAACGATAGATTGACTAACACTTACAGTTTATTTATACTTTTATTAAGTATAACATAAGATTTTGTGGTATCCACTTGTGTAAATATTTTAAATTGAAGATCAAATTTATTCATTGTATTCATATAGGGTCAAGGAGTGTAGTTATAAAAAATCATCAAAATCGGAGTTAAAATAACCGTTAAATCGTGATTTTTCGTTTATAACCGTTGAAAAGCTTTGTCCCGTTACTTGATCTCTGAATGTTTTTTTTTTGTGATTTTTTGCTGATGTGATCTCCAAGCATATACAAACAATTTTGACGGTTTGGATCGTTGAAATTAGTTTTGGAGAATTCGTAAAACGATAGATTGACTAACACTTACAGTTTATTTATACTTTTATTAAGTATAACATAAGATTTTGTGGTATCCACTTGTGTAAATATTTTAAATTGAAGATCGAATTCATTCATTATATTCATATAGGGTCAAGGAGTGTAGTTATAAAAAATCATCAAAATCGGAGTTAAAATAACCGTTAAATCGTGATTTTTCGTTTATAACCGTTGAAAAGCTTTGTCCCGTTACTTGATCTCTGAATGTTTTTTTTTGTGATTTTTTGTTGATGTGATCTTCAAGCATATACAAACAATTTTGACGGTTTGGATCGTTGAAATTAGTTTTGGAGAATTCGTAAAACGATAGATTGACTAACACTTAGAGTTTATTTATACTTTCATTAAGTATAACATAAGATTTTGTGGTATCCACTTGTGTAAATATTTTAAATTGAAGATCGAATTCATTCATTGTATTCATATAGGATCAAGGAGTGCAGTTATAAAAAATCATCAAAATCGGAGTTAAAATAACCGTTAAATCGTGATTTTTCGTTTATAACCGTCGAAAAGCTTTGTCCCGTTACTTGATCTCTGAATGTATTTTTTTTGTGATTTTTTGCTGATGTGATCTCCAAGCATATACAAACAATTTTGACGGTTTGGATCGTTGAAATTAGTTTTGGAAAATTCGTAAAACGATAGATTGACTAACACTTACAGTTTATTTATACTTTTATTAAGTATAACATAAGATTTTGTGGTATCCACTTGTGTAAATATTTTAAATTGAAAATCGAATTCATTCATTGTATTCATATAGGGTCAAGGAGTATAGTTATAAAAAATCATCAAAATCGGAGTTAAAATAACCGTTAAATCGTGATTTTTCGTTTATAACCGTTGAAAAGATTTGTCCCGTTACTTGATCTCTGAATGTTTTTTTTTTGTGATTTTTTGCTGATGTGATCTCCAAGCATATACAAACAATTTTGACGGTTTGGATCGTTGAAATTAGTTTTGGAGAATTCGTAAAACGATAGATTGACTAACACTTAGAGTTTATTTATACTTTCATTAAGTATAACATAAGATTTTGTGGTATCCACTTGTGTAAATATTTTAAATTGAAGATCGAATTCATTCATTGTATTCATATAGGGTCAAGGAGTGTAGTTACAAAAAATCATCAAAATCGGAGTTAAAATAACCGTTAAATCGTGATTTTTCGTTTATAACCGTTGAAAAGCTTTGTCCTGTTACTTGATCTCTGAATGTTTTTTTTTTGTGATTTTTTGCTGATGTGATCTCCAAGCATATACAAACAATTTTGACGGTTTGGATCGTTGAAATTAGTTTTGAAGAATTCGTATGCCATCAATCAAGTTCCGTGTGTATATATATATATTTATTAAGTAGATTTAAATCTATTTATTTTGTACTATAAATTATAATTGACTGGTACACGGAATAGTACATACATCACGTGTCACGTGTGTCATTATAAAAATAGTGAGATATGTCATGACAGTCATGTGTGTGATAAAAAATTAATAACTTAAAAAAAAAAAAAATTCTCGCCACTTCTATTAATTTTCATTTTTCCCTCTTTTTTTGTTTCCTTTTCAACTTTTTCTTATCATTTTCACTTTTCCCTCCAACATCTTTCCCTAATTCCCTCACTTTTTTGTTTCATTTTCAACTTTTCTTAACATTTTCATTTTCCCTCCATTTGTTTTTTCAAAAAGGGCGGCAAGTTGGCAACGGCAAGAAATTGATTATTGAAATTTGAATGGAAAGAAATCACATCAAATTTCAATGGATGCAAAATCATGCAATGCATCATGCATATTAAATTATTAATTAATAATTATTATAGTTTTTATAAAATTTAATATATATAATTATTATAGATAGACTTAATATTTTGGGGGTATAATTATTATAGTATATATAATTATTATAATTATTATAAATTTTATAGTTAATTTAATATATATATATATATTATAATTTTTAGGGGTATAAAATTGTAAAATTAATGTATATAATTATTATAGTATTTTTTTTTGGGTTATAAAATTATAAAAATAATATTCTGCTTATCGTGTATCGTGTTAGCCACGTGTATACCCGAACCAACCCGTTATCTTAACATGTGCTTATCGGGTTACCCGATAACGACCCGATTCGTTATCGTGTCGACCCAAACACCTGTTAATTTCGTGTCATGTCGTGTCGGGTTATCGGGTTATCGGGTCGTGTCAGAAATTACCAGGCCTACATCCAGCTGCCTAAGGACTGGTTTGGTATTGCTGTGCTTTGAAAAAAAGCTGCTTCTGCTGTGTTGTGAGAATAAGCAGCTATGAAATAAAGCAGCAGAGTGTTTGGTAAACTTTTTTGTAAAAGTGCTTTTGAAAAAAAAAAAAACAGTATTAGAGTGTTTGTTAAACTTTTATGTAAAACGGATGTAAAAAAGAGCCGGTTTTTCAAAGCTTGGTTTTGCAGCTTCTTGTTTTTGGCTTTTTTTCACCCAAAACTGTGAAAAAAAACTGAAACTGAGTGTTTACCAAACACAAAAATAACTTCCAACCTTTTTTTATAACAGCTTTTTTTAGAGTCACCTTAATACCATACCAGTCTAAGAGCAATAAACTGACGCGATAACCAATTCCTCCTTCCTCTCTGACGCTCATCTCTCCACAACTTCTTTTTCTCCCGGTGGAAGCGGCTCCTCCGGTCCTCCTCCACTCAGGCAACCGGTATCCTTCATTTCCTCTCTCTTCCTTAATTTTACTCTTTTGGGTTTATTTTTAAGCAAATTTCTCTCTCCCCCTCTCTCTCCCTCTCTGTTTTTGATTCTGCATTGCAGCAAATGGGTAGCTTGATTTTTGTTCTTTTCTCTCATTAATTAATTTCCATGATTCCGAAATGGTCTAAGACCAATTGGGTTTAATAATTCCTGGGTTTTATTTCACTAATTTGTTTACTTGGTTAACCAAGTTGCTTTTTTTGCAATTTGGTAAAAAAATTATGGAAATTGTTGTGACGATAATGCATGTGAAAACTTGCCTGATAAGTGTTCGATGAATTGCATATGTTTAACTCCTTATTTCTTGCCACTCATATGCACAGGATTATCCTGAAATGAAATGCTTCTTTGGGATTTGCATGTGGGTTTCTCCAGTCTATATATTTCATGTAGAATTTCATTGTCAGTTTTTTCACTGATGCTTTTCGAAAGACACTGCAACTGATGCATGCTGAATCTGGGTCCTCAGTCGTTTCCTTTCTTTCGTTTCTCGATCAGATTGTTTTCCTTTGCCATATTAGTGATTATTAAGACATTCTACATATGAATTCCGTTAATAATGGTGTTCTATGCGAACTACATTGTCATTTCTTGCGCTTCATCTGCTTTGTGTGGGTGAGAGAGATAGGGGTAATCTTCAAGAAGGACTGTATTTGTTAGAGTATGCTATTGGTGAGTTCTTATGTGTGAGTGGGTTGGTTGCGGGGTATGTGGAGAAAGATTGAGAGCTAAGCCACGTAAGTGAAAACATTGGCTGGTCTGGAACAAGGATGGCACCATATTCATTTGTCTCACAGAGAAATAAAACTTTGAAATATTTTCACTGTCACAGTAATTGCTTGATTATATGATCCTACTATATTTGAGCTTGTTGCAGATTCTAAATTTTAATCCGCAGCAGTGATGGATGGCTCATCTCAGGCGACAGGATCTAATCCTGCCTCAGGGTTAGATTTTAACAATTTTCAAAGTAGGATGGCAAATGATGATCAGCGCTTTCTCTTGTACTTCATTATCGGTACCTACTTTGGGCCTGATCTTAAAGGAGAGAGGCCATCAAAGTCAGTGTTGCAGAGAATAGCTGAGCGACTTCCACCATATACTATTGAGCAACTAGGTGGCTCCTGCCTGAAAATGGCAGAGGTAGAGCAGGTGTACTATTATGTTCTTCGGAAGGCTGACCAATCTGCCATTGCTAAATTACCTTTGTTAAGCCAGTTCTTCCATGGTAGCCTCCGTACCCATAGAGAAGATGCCACAGCCAATTACCCTCAGTTTACGGATCTCTTTCCTCTTCTCCTCCACCCCCATTCACAGTTCAATAACAAAGATGATATCTTTGAGAACATTGTATTTATTCATAACCCAGAAATATATTACATTAAGCCAAAGGATATCGAACGATTTAAGAGGCTTACTGGACTGGAGGATTTTCTTCTGGATAGAGATGCTGCAAAGCTGCATACTGTTCCTGATGGAAGTGTTTTATATAATGTGTTGGAGCAGGAGCCGAAGTCCAATGGTGAGTCACCTCCCGCTAGTTCTTGCCAAAGTTCTAGGGGAACAAAACATTTAGAGGATCTCATGGAATTGAAGGATCCTCTGAAACCTATGCATGTTGAAGCACCTATCAGTACCGTTCCAGATAGTGGTACTCCTATGATGCATAGTTATATGTCCCCGCACACGAATAAAAAAACCTCTGAGCCTGTGGAGAAACTTGATCGTGCTATGATTTTTCTTCCTTCTCTTCCAACTAAAAAAGAGTTGTCCAATATTGTAGCTGCCACAAGAGATGGATTTGCATTGACTGGGAGTGCGGCAATGGCGAAGGTGGGACCAACGATAGGGCTCATTGACATTGGAGAATGTGATGACTCCTACCTGTTTCGTGTATCTCTTCCTGGAGTGAGAAGAGATGAAAGTAAGTTTCTCTTTACAACTTAGATATCTCTTGTATCTCTCTCATATCGCAGTCACATACTTATCTCTGTGGCCACCTGTATTGCCTCTTTGATACTACCACTTTTATACGTAATCAAATGATGTAGAGCGATGATCCGCAGGGGAATTCAGCTGTGAAGTTGAAAATGAGGGCCAAGTATTGATAAGAGGAGTGGCGGTAACAGGCGAGAAGACAGTCCACAGGTACTCTCAGATGTTTGAAATGCAAACACAGAATCTTTGCCCTTCTGGGCAGTTTTCTATCTCGTTTCAGCTACCTGGTCCAGTTAATCCGCAGCAATTTTCTGGTAATTTTGGGACGGATGGAATTCTGGAGGGAATTGTGATGAAACGAAAAGATGTCAGTAGTAAGTATGCGTAGCTGAAGTTTAGTGAGCCGCTGTATATTTGTTAGGAACACTGACATAAGGAGTTCTGTTCTTGCCAAATTCCGTTGCGTGATATTGTCATTGAATTGATGTCTGCAAAATGTTGCAAGTGCCTCAGCTGCTATCGTCATTAGATCCTCAATGCGCGATATCAACTGAGGCACGGGTAAAATGGCAGCCTAATAAATATTTAACCCTGTAATATGGTAACTAGAGAAAATGGTTGAAAAAATGATGCATGAATTTCCAACTTATTTGGGGATGCTTCAAATTATGGACAATAGGGAGGGACAGAGGATCCAGCGATGTTCTGATCTAATTTAAATTACAGGGAGATGAATCCGAATTTGGATGCAAAAGAAGGGAGGGCTAAACCCTACGCCCACCCTTCAACTGACATGGGGGGTTCCAAGTTAAGTTCCGACGGGTCCAAATTATTACCAATACTGAAAATTCTGAAAATTTGGAGTATTTCGATCGAACTAGCAAGAGTTTCTAGAATTTCAAAATTACAAAATAAATTGGGAGTGGGTGAGAGAGAGGAATGACAAAGAGCGGCTGAATCTTAAAGAGAAAGGAATCGTGCGGCTAGACTTATTTTAGGACTCTAAAGAAACAGTTGGAGAGTGTTTGGACCGATTGTCAACGACTTGAGATGCTTTATTGCAGGAATGCCGCACTCGATGATCAACCTTGTTCAACGGGAAGGAAATGAGGCGGCGCATCGTCTTGCTAGGATGGGTCTTAGTAGCTCTTAGGAGTGTATGTGGTTTGAGGAATCTCCGGATTTGATTCAGGTTATATTAGTCAAGGATGGATTGTAATTTTATTGTTTCATTGACGTTGATTGTTCATTTGAGGATAGGTTCCAGTTTGTTCGAGACACTCTTTTCCTTAGACCGGGTTGAAAGCCCCGTCAAGGTTTTTATCGAGGCCCAGTGAACACACTATCCTCAAGATGTACGTATTCTTTGTTTACCTATTGGACATCGTACTTTGTTTCCAAGAAAAGAAAAAAAAAACAAAAGACAAAAAATTTATAAGATAAGGTGCACAAAAACTGCTTATCTCCTAATAGTGTTTCACTCCAACTAGGACTCATCTTCGTTGTGCAATTCCTTATCTTCCAAGTCTCAACTTTAATTCCTCCAGATTTTAGTACATGTTTAACACCTTAATTCCTTGACTTCCAAGTCTCAACTTTAATTCCTCCAGATTTTAGCACATGATTAACACCTTCTAAACTCAAAAAATGTCTCGCCCATATGCTATCCACGCATGTTATCCAATCCAAGTCCAAAACTGTTTCTAGTTGCTCCATTTGACCTCTAATTGTCAACTTTACCAACTAAACCTACAATAAAATGAAATATAATTTAAATCACTATAACAAATGGAAATTGACTAAGTAAATGAAAACAAATAAGATAACAAGTCCCCCACGCTTACCTTTTGCTAGTCCCCAAGCAAAACAAAGAAAACAAAACAAAAACCTAAACCATCCAACAATTGCCTCAGGGATTTCCAACGAACCATGATATATAAAAAATCACTACTTAGTCCTTACATAGATTTTAGCCATCTTACTCTTGAGCTTATACTTAACCCCAGCAACCACTCACTAGCTCGCCATTAATCAATTAAATCAATATTTGAAAGTAGTAACACGTCTTAGAGAATTCAACAAATTCCTCACCAGATATCCTCTCTATTGTCACACAGATTTTCTAGCTACACTTTCTATACTAAGTATACGTGAGAAGATTGATGTAAACATGTAGATTAGCACTTACATATGTTATAAAAATGAAGGCACTTTCTGAAATTACTAATACTTCGTATATATATGATCTCATAAACTAAATGTCACTTCTTAGAAGCGAGAACTAGGGATCCTATATGCTCATACTAATTTCCAACTCCACATATTTAAACACACAACAATCAAGATAAAAGTTTAAGGGTTGGAACGGGGCTCAGGTATTGGCTAACAATGAAGGGTTAAGGATAAACAAAAGGTCTTAAAGAGATAGTAAGCAAAGTAATGAAATCAACACTTAAAATTTAACTTTTGATTGTAGTACCCAACTATGAACACAACGGGAGATCCAATAACCCATTTTCAATTTCAATTGGGCGTTGTAGGGAAACCCTAAAACACCAAGATCAAAATCTAATTTTAGGCAAAAGCTTGCTATCGCTACTCATGAATATGCTGATCTAAGAGTAATAGTCATTTGAAATAGAAAACGAAAATACAATGGTGATGAATATTTATTTTCGTTGGGTGAGTTTCAATTTTTAGATTTGTGTCTATCCACTATACAAATCTTGAAATTTAAACTCATCTAATAGTGATAAATAAGATGATAAGTATCACTATCAACTTGAGGATGGTGAGCAAAAATATTCTCCTAAAATAGTACGGGTACTAATTTCAACAAACTTTGTTTTCTCTTCGTACATCCATCCATGTTTAATTCTAACCACTAAATCGAATAATGTAAAGAAAATCAAAGGAAAAAATGAACAAGTGTGCAAGTAGAGAACAAGATTATAAATGAGAAATTAGAGTGAAGTGAACTACATTAGTGAGACGAGTACAAAAGAAAATAGTAATTTAAGAAAGGACAAATTGGTAATTAAAGTAACACACGGCGCTACTTTGACGCCAAAGTTTCAAATTGGAGGCAAATCCTAACGCGTAACGGTAACATAAGCGGTCTGAGTCTCCTTCTCCTTCTGGGATTCGATGATTTAACCTATAAAAAGGAAATATTGGAGTTCTTACAAACAATTGCTACTTGCTACTGCCAGAGAGAGAGATATAGAGAGCAGAAAAAACAACTGTCTTCTTCTTCCTTCGATCGTCATTCATTCTTCTGGGTAATTCATTCTTCTCCTTCAATCTCCATCGATTTGATCGCAATACCAATCTGGTTACTTCTAAGAACAAAGCGATGAGGAAGAAACTTACATCTGTTTGGGCCCACAATTTTGAGCAAGAACTCGCCTCCGTCGATCGGTGTCTCTGCCGTTTTCCGATCGTCTCGTTCGACACCGAATTTCCGGGGTTTCTCCGCAACACCCCCAGACGCGCTTCCGAGGGCCTCCGTTACCAAGATCTCGCATTTAACGTCGATTCTCTTAAACTCATCCAACTGGGTATCACCCTGTTCGACGACCGCGGCAACGTCGGCGGCACCTGGGAGTTCAACTTTCGGGGTTTTGACGAGGAAACCGACCCCCATGTTCCAGAATCCATCGCCCTCCTCAAAGCCAGTGGCTTGGATCTCGAGAAATTTGGGAAGTTCGGCATCGATTCGGATATTTTTGTGGAGGGTTTCGTTGAGATTTTAAGGGTGCACAGGGGGCGGCTTGTATGGGTGAGCTTCCACGGCCTCTACGACTCGGCCTATGTAATGAAGCTGGTGACGAGGAAGACCATCCCCAGCTCCCCCATTGAGTTCGCAAAGGTGGCAGGTCGTTTGTTCGAGAGGGTCTACGACTTGAAGTTTATGGCCAGGTACTGCCCGGGCCTATTTGGGGGCGAAATTGGGCTCGAAAGGATGGCAACAATCCTCGGAGTGCAGCGTTGCGGGGATGCCCATCAAGCGGGTTCCGACAGTCTGTTGACGGCTGAGTTATTCCTGAAGATGAGGAGTGAATTTGGGTTGAAGCCTGGAATGTACGAGGGATTTCTCTACAGTCTTAGTCCCAAGATTTGTGGTGCTTCTAAGTATCTTTGTTCCTCTGTACACACTGTACACAGAGCTCCTCCTCATTCGGTGATCCTTGTCCCTGCGTTCCCCACAAGACCCGTCATTCTCATCCGCCACCCCTTCTCCCGTGATCAATCATGCCAGAGCCGCCATCATGCTGCCCCAGTTATGCTTTACCGTCATCCTCCTCCCGTGTTTCTGCATCGGCGTCCATGTAGTCCTTTTCCTGCTTTGCCTCAAGCCCTTCCTGAAAACCACATTCACATGTGAATTAATGTTGTTAGAATATATAGTTCATATGATATCCATATTTGTAACACTCCTGTAATTGTCCATACATTGTAATTCATTCATTCATTCATTCGATTAATGGAATACAAGTTTATTTCAATCAGTTCAATTTTCTTATTTCCATTCCTTTTATTCAACTTGATTGAATAACAAGTGCACATTTACATACAAAACATAATCCATTTACTCTCAGCAGAAACTTGTTTCATCAAATCTTGTATGCGCTATACAGAATCTCAAATGTGAAAGTAAAAGTTTGTGAACAAAACGGTAGCTAGTGCAAATCTGACCTATTCCGAACAAAATGGAGAGACAATAGAGAAAAACAAATCTGTACACCAAGGTCTAAAATTAACAACAGCCAAGCTTCTCGGCTATTTTCTCAACCAGAACATCTTTCCGAAACATAGTTGTCAGGTTGATTGCTGTGCCGCCAACTGCTTCAGTTCAATTATGTTCTCCTTCTGAAGATCTTCCTCTTTGGATAGACTGCACTCTGAAGGTCCCCCATGCTCCCACCATCAGTTGCAACCTTGTGTGAATCTTCAACCCTAAATCTACATTCAAACCTTTAATCTCTGCAGTAAGTGGGAAAGTACCTTCCATCTTCTTTTATTACTGTGAAACTGAAGTCCCTAACATCTCCGTACCTTAATAAATTCCAAGTCATCACCAAAAGATGTTGCACGAACAATCTCTATTTCTAAAATGATGAAACTGACTTTTATCTCTCATGACAATCTAGCTTTTGATAGCCTTCAAAACAAATTTACAAAAACTATGGCAGTCATCTCATCGCACACCCTCAAATTTTCACCACCCTAACGGGGGTTTCAATTCTTAGATTTATAAGACGATGCAACGGCAAGCTTTTCACTTTGTCAGCATTGCTTCTTTTTCCTCCATGTCCATACCATGAAACACAGAACTGTTAGTTGGAATGTAACCCATACTCTTCACTTGTCTCAATAAGGCCTTAAACTTCTTATATATTTCTGCTGACTCTGGCAACCGGCCCCCACCATAGAACATTTGGAAGTTTCCGTTACATTCAACTGAGATGTAGGCAGCTATTTTCTTGACGCCTCTTTTTCACTTCCTCACCTTATCGACAAAGTTCCACCCTCCAGCAGCCACATACATGTTTGACATTAAGACATGATATCAACCAATATCAGCAGCTAATTCGAAATGCAAATCAACTGCATGCTGGCCCAGTACAACATTTTGGTGGATTCTCCAGGCAGCCAATATAGCTCCCACCCTCCAGAATCTGGGCAAACTTGATCAAATGACTAAGTAGAACACATTTCAGTTAAACTAATAACTTGATTAAATGACTCTGTAAAGAGGGAACAAGAGAGATACCATACAAGCATGCATGGCGTCTCCAGAGAACCCCACAAACAAATGGCTCTAAAGAAACCAGAAAGTCTGCGGCTGGAATGGATTTAGCAAACAAAAACTTTGAGCTTTTGCGCGACCCAACCGATGGCTCTATGATCGATCCATTGCTTGTAGATCCAGTATTGGGTTCCAATCACTTTGGTAAAATATGACCCCTGCAAGAGGACAAAGCATCTAAATAGATGGATGAACTATTCAGTCTAGTACGTAATTACAAGAGTTGAGAAAAGAAAGCTCATATGATAATGAAGTCCCTACCGTTGCTGCAAATCTCTAACCATGTCTCGCCTCCATTATCCATCAAGTCGTTGTAGGTATTTACATTTCCTCGACTGCACATCTAGAGTTATCAACAAGAGAAAAGAGGTAAACAGTTGGAATCCAAGTAGTAATACTATATGGTGCCGTGCGGTGAAGGTTTCCAAAATGATGAAATAACTCAGTTAACATTAGCACAACCAGAACATCTAATGCAAGTTTTTCACAACATATTTCTTCACTCAATCAACAGATAGAAAAATAAAAGGCTCCAACCAACCTAAATAAGCATTTGATTTTCTTAACATCCGCACATAAACAAGGCATCACCACCGTATTCTTGAGTTTGCTCTGCCAAAATTCCCACATTTTGCTATTCGAATTATTACTCAAAATTAACACTTCCAATGGCACTTACACCTTCTACGACACGACAGTATGCTATGCTTGTCGAGTACTTCATCTGTGGCTAAGCCGGCACTGAATCGAATCGGGGGAGACCCGGTTGAAGGCGGAGACAACACGTCCCTTCAAATAGACCCAACATTTCAAATAGACGTTTTAACTCAAAAATAATTATTCTCCTCCAATTTTTATGGGTTAAATTTTTAGCCCGATTATAAAAGTAAATTTAGGATAATTTTTTTCTTAAAGTAATTTTTTTTAAATGAAAAGTTACGTAGACTATTCTAAATTAATTTTATGTATATTTTAACCTAAAAATATTTAGATTCCGATAAAAATTAAAAATCGTTAAATCGGCACCATGAAACTCGTGCAACACTATGAAAGAATATGAACACATAAAATAAATTTTTTAATTACTTTAGCAGTTGGATTTAAATTTGGACTGTTAGATATTTTTTATCATTGAATCATATTTGCCTCAAGAGTTAGATCAAGTTGGGGTAAGTTGGGAGTAAGTTGTCTAAGACTAAAATGACAAAAAATAGCTTAATTTTGCAACTCATTTTGGCACATTTCTTTATCAAATTTAAGGTATTTTTGTATTTTTTGTTCTTATTTAAGAGAATTTTCATACCAAAATGGTTGATAGTGGACAAACTCATATCTATTGATTTCAAATCTGAAAAACCAAAATGAAGAATTATGTCAACGTTGAAAACTATTTAAATTAAAAAGCCTTTCAAATATTATAAATATTGAGTAATATACTTATATTAAATTATTGTTTAAATATTAATTAATATACTTGATCATACAATGCAAATTTAAGCTTAAAATTTGGTCTGTTAAAGATATTAGGTTACATTATTGAAGTAAGATGTTACAGTTGCCACGCGTCAATACTTGTTTTGGAACATGAATTGTCAGCGCAACTCCGTGGTTAATGCTTGCTTGCCACGTTTGCATGTTCCTTCCACCTACGAGTCGCCGTCCAACAACAATACACAAACCCACGTTGCTTATTCGAATACTCAAGTAAAATAAATAAAAAACTGAAGAAAAAAAAAATGTAATTTCCATTTTACTACTAAGTTTCTCATTTTTTGACTTTCTGTACTCATATTATTTTTATTTCATTTTTGTCTTAAACTATAACTTTTCTTACTATTTTATGCTTTAGTCGGTCTGACCAGTAATCTGTTTATTAATTACTAACGTGATAGGAATTTTGTTACCTCATCAGCACCTGAAAAACTTCGATTTATAAAGTATAAAAGTGGGCCAAAAAAATTAACAATAATCTTATTATGAATAAATTAAGCACCCTAATAAAATAAAACATTCAAATATCATAAAGTGCCCTTATAAAATTTTAGAAATACAAATTGAACCAAAAAGAGTTAAATTAATTCACCACTTTTTAATTTTGAATGGATTTTAAACTTTAGGAATGAAAAAAAAAAAAATTCAACGTTAGTGGGTGTTTATGTTTCATATTTTTTTTTTGGAATAATTTTTAATAAAAATATAAATTAGATATTTAAATAAAAATAAATAAAACAAAACATAATATAATATAAAAAGACTAATACCAAACGCTTATGTGCGTGTGTAAGGGGCTAATAAAATAATAAGGCAAGAAAGATGTAAAATTAAAATTACCCAAAAATTAAAAAAGAAAATTAAAAAAAGGAAGGAAAAGCAAAAGCCAAAGACCAAGACTGCAGAAATAATAACTTTCCATTGAAGCTCAGAGCAGAGCTTCTTCTCCAAACAAATCCAATCCAAGGCTTCCAAGCACCTGTTCCACCAAACAAAATCTCTCCTCCTCCTTCAACCCATTTGAGCAATGTCGTCAAAGAAGCAAGCCATTTTCATATCTTCCCTCATAATCCTCTGGTACTCATCAAACATCGGCGTCCTCCTACTCAACAAGTTCTTACTCTCCAACTATGGCTTTCGATTCCCAATCTTCCTCACAATGTGCCACATGGCCGCCTGTGCAGTTCTCAGCTACCTCTCCATCGTCTTCCTCAAGATTGTGCCCCTCCAGACCATCAAATCTCGGTCCCAGTTCCTCAAGATTGCCACTTTGAGCGTTGTCTTTTGTGGGTCCGTCGTGGGTGGGAATATCTCTCTCAGGTACCTTGCTGTTTCTTTCAATCAGGCTGTCGGTGCAACGACGCCGTTTTTCACCGCCCTGTTTGCGTATTTGGCGACCTTGAAGAGGGAGGCCTGGGTTACCTATGCTGCTCTTGTGCCTGTTGTTGCCGGGGTGGTGATTGCCAGTGGGGTAATGCTTGTTTTTGTTAATTGGATCATGAATTTTAATCGCTATTTAATTGTTTAACATTGGTTTTTATTTGCTTCTGCATAAGCTCGTTTTTCGGATTATTTTGATTTGGTCTCTGTACAATGCTGTTAATTTCCCGGGTTTATCTTGCTGTGAATTTGGTACGAGATTTATTGATTTAGCTGGTTTAATTAGTTTTCGGTCGAAACTCTAGTTAAGATATGGTACTTGCTGATCCAGATCTGAATTTCAGCCACCGGGAGTAACCAGCGATGCATTGTTCTAGATATTCTATCTGGTTTAAACTTGAAACCGGAAATACATTTGGCTCGAGATTTTGGTATAGACAGATTACAAATATCGGAGAAGCACCATTCTCTTAAAACAGTGTCACTTGTAGTTGTAATTGATAATGGACAATGCTACCTTTATCGTGGCAGAAGTAAGCAATTCGAGAAATGAGGGGTCATTCATATCGAAAACCATGCATGGATATTGTTGCTATTATGCGAGGCTGGTGTTTAAAGTTTGTGTTGGCATATGATATATGTATCTAATGAATTTTAAGAATGTAACAGCCTGTTTTTTCGGTTTACTGTTATGGCTTATATTGTATTCTGTGTTTTCACTTTTTATATCAGCAATTTGCTTTGATTCCAATTTTAATGGAATGATGGAAATTTCTCGGTTGGTGGCAGGGCGAGCCAAGTTTTCACTTCTTTGGGTTTGTTATGTGCATTAGTGCAACTGCTGCAAGGGCCTTTAAGTCTGTTCTTCAGGGTATCCTACTTTCTTCCGAAGGGTAAAACTTTAAAGCTTTTCACTGTATAATCTGTCATCTGAACTCTTTTATATTTAACCTTATATATTTGGACGGTTTCTGATTAATAACCTTTACCACCTGAGAATCTTTAAGAAGGGATTAAATCTCACTCTTTTCATAGTAAGGAAATTTTTTGAAAAAGTAAGGCATGATAACTTATTATAAATAACATTCACAACTAAAAATAATAGTATAACTATTAATGCAATTATTTCTTAGTTTATACCCAGACCTGTGCTGGTTGTAGGGAAGGAAGTAAATACCGTGGATTGGTTAAACTCTAATAACTTATGGAGGCTGATCTCAGAATGTGTTAGAATCCTACTGTTGTGCTTAAAATACTTTATTATTACCTATTTTCTCTTCACAAAAGATTCAAGCAAGGGATGAGATAATGGAGATTTCTATAATTTCATCACGCACAGCCATTTTCTTGGTTACCTTGAACCCCGAAGAGTCCTGAAACTCATTTCATTTGGAAAATTCACCATTGTGGACGATTCAATCATCAGAAGAAAGAGAGAGCTCAAAAGGGCCATTTTCGGGATACAGGGGCTTACGTGTCTTCTTTCCTTGTGTGAATGCTACACCCTGTGCCGTAGTTACAGATATTTCAGATTTGTAGGAATCATGTAAAATCATTTCTTTGTGGACGGACATAAATATATATGTCCAAAGAGATTCTGGTTAGACTGAAATAAATAACTAATCGCACGCTGTTAGACCTATTTTACAATTAGGACTGAGGGCTAGACCACCTCAAGCGTGAATTTTTCTTCTTAGGTAAAGAAAGCAATGAGTGTTTGAATATTGACCATTAAGTGTTGTATTCCTAATTGCTTATTTAATTTCGTTACTTACCAGTTACTAGAGCCTACACATACGTGTTAGATACATTCTCTTTAAGATTGAAGGCAGTTATCTATTTCTTAATTGTAAACTTTTTCTTTGAGATGCATTTAGATATGATCCCCTTGCTTTATTTGATTGGCAATCAACGGACACACTGCAATCAAAACTATAATTTTCCAAATAGTTGTGATATATGTTCAGTTTGTAGGTTTCTCAGTTTCGTTCCATCTTTATCTCAAGCCAAATTAATTCACTATTTTCTTGCTGTGGTGTTTTCTTACTACTTGTTCTGTTTATATGTCTTAACACTGAACAGGGAGAGGTTGAACTCAATGAATTTGCTGCTGTACATGTCTCCGATTGCTGTTCTAGTTTTGTTGCCTGCTGCACTTATAATGGAGCCCAATGTTGTAGATGCCACTCTGTCACTTGGAAGGGAGCATAAATTCATGTGGTTACTTCTTTTGATTAATTCAGTGATGGCATATTCTGCTAATTTGTCAAATTTTTTGGTGACCAAACATACAAGTGCATTAACGCTTCAGGTTTGGACTTCCTTCACCTTGATTTTCCTAATTCATATTGCCTGATCTAATTATTTCTCGAATTAATATGTTGATTGCTCTAATTTAGTAGATAGAAACCAACACACACACACACACACACCATTAATCAGGTTGGTTTTTCGTTTCTCTTGAATGTATGGTCCAGGTTGACAGTCTAGCAGCATAAGAACATTGCTCGATTTATGAATTATGACCAAATTCCTCGTTTTCAAATAAAATGCAAACATTCACCCTAGAAGCTACTCCGCAGTTCAGAACGGTCTATATTGTATGTCCTTCAAGGGACATCTTCATGAAAAATCCACTAAATTAGAATTGTATTTTAGTGTAGGAAAACACTGACTACCCCAAAACTGAGCAATCAAAACCCAAAATCCAACTCGTTGTGTGATTGTACACCCATAAAGTGTCAACTCTATTGGTAATAGGATCAAAACATTGATTAAACTGCTGCCGGTCGAAGCTAGTTATGACTGTAAGCTCGAAGTGTAAAAGGCCAGTCGAATGGCAAATGTGTCTGCACATAATCATAAGTCTTAAATGCGGTACAAACACATTTCGAATGCAGCTGAATCAATTTTTTGTAGGTGAACAACATGTTTATTTATTTTTGGCTCGTTCTTGGACTTGTATAATTTGTTATATGGTAATTATTTTACAATCAGGTATTAGGCAATGCAAAAGGCGCAGTGGCTGTTGTTATCTCAATTCTTTTATTCAAGAACCCCGTGACTGCTATCGGCATTGGCGGTTACATGATAACTGTTATGGGAGTCGTTGCCTATGGAGAAGCAAAACGGAGGCTCAGATAAGTGATCCTTGACATTTACCAAATTCTTTGTTTTTGAAGGCTTAAGTATTTTGTTAGTGAGATTATGTGCACGTAGATTCTTAGCGCATATTGTTTTAGCAGAGAGAGAGAGAGAGAGAGAATTCATTGTGATCGTGTATTAGAGAAAGAAAGATAATCCATTTTGGTGGTGTATTATTATGTATACAAGCAACTCCTTTTGTACCAGATTCAATCCTAATTATTCATAGAGCTAATGTATTTCCAGTCTCTCCGGTTCATTCCAAGTAAAACTCTTCGAACTGCGTTGGTTATTACCTCTTGTCGCTTGAAAGGTAAGTTTTTTGAGTTTTGATGATTTCAAGTTACATGAAATTCAAAGCCTAGATCCCTCATTTACAAACGAAGAGGAATGCAGTCAAACAGGAAAGATTCACAAAACTATTCCAACACAATTCATTGTCTTATATGAACACAATTTCAAGTTATAATCTTCACTGACATACAAATGATATGCAGATAGATACTGCAACTGTAAGCACTATGACATCGCGTAAAACCTTCACACAAGCGTTTAAGAACAGTATAAATTTCTCTTTCTAACCAACTATACCGAGGTTCAATCAGATAAGGAAAAATGCTAGCAAATCTACTGACTGAACCAAACCTTTCTATCTTTTTGAAAACAAAAACAAAATACCGAGCAGAGCTTTCACAGGACCGTCACTTTCAATACAAAAAAGCTCTGCAACTTAAAACGGCCTTTTGACTATCTCACGGCGTACTAGTTTCAGTCAGTACTCAGCAGACGTCATCTAGCCTTGTGAAGGAAAGCAGGGCATCTGAAACGCTCCTATTCAAACTATGCCCTCTGGAGGACCGGAAGGAAGCGCTTCATATCCGTCATGGTGCTTAGTTGTCCTTTCAACAGGTATTAATTTGAGCACAACTGCAACAAGCATGCTAACTGCTCCAAGTAAAATGCTGAGTAACCATAGTTGCCAGCTTAGTGGCACAGTGCTAGCAAAAGCTCCCAAGAACTCTACTATGATAACCTGGAACGCCGCTGTGCAAACCATGACGATTAGAAATACCCAACTGTCGAACATTCCACGGAATATGTTTATCTTCTCTATGTCACGACTGTTTATCTGATTGAACACCTGTTAGAACAAAAGAAAGCCAAGATCATACATACGTGGGACTTGAGTATTACTACTACAAGCTTTTCAGCAGCATTCTTTCGATCTCGGAAAACAAACACAAGGGGAAATAACAACCACAGGCCCAAAACCACCTGCTTAATTAGGAATAATAACATCAAAACTACAAGTTATATGCTGGTAAGTACTAAAGTTAACCATGTGGAAGATGCACGGCAGCACGCATAAAACTAGGGTATTGGTTAAACCAGTAATATGTACCTGGCAAAACACAAATGCGTTGAATATCACAGTGTTGAGAACCTCTGTTGCATCTGAACCAGTAAGTCCTAGTAGCTTCTCCCCAGAGAAATTGAGAACTCCAAGGACAGCCAGTTGATAGATACTCTGACCAATGATATTTCTCCACATAGCCTTGGTGATGAAGCTGGTACCCCTCCCAACTGGGGGCCTTTTCATAAGTCCATCATTTGGAGGCTCTGTTGCCAGTGCCAAAGCACCAAGAGTGTCCATAATCATGTTCACCCAAAGCAGTTGCACCGCTGTAAGGGGAGCAGATCCTGAAAGAGATGCGGAATTTGTCATTATTCGTGTCAGTTCAGCTCCAAACAAATATAACGGCATTTCATGTAAGAAAAATCTGCTGGACAACATACCTGAGACACATGCAGAAACAAAATTGATCATTAGAGCGACAACGTTAACTGTTAACTGGAACTGCACAAACTTTTGAATGTTTATGTACACTGAACGTCCCCATCTGGCCACATTTACTATAGTTTTAAAATTGTCATCCAATATGATGACATCAGCATTTTCTTTGGCAACCTGTACACATATCCATGAATAATATAGAATTGAAAACATTCATGTTAATGGATGAGGAAATGGAAAGAGGAAACAAGAATTAATTAGAAGCAAAACATCACAGGATTGAAGGAAAAGGATAATGTGGCAGAATACAAACCTCTGTTCCTGCTATGCCCATAGCAAGTCCAATGTCTGACTCATGCAACGCGGGAGCATCGTTAGTCCCATCACCAGTCACTGCAACAACCTCACCAAATTCATCTCTCAAAGTTTTTACCAATGTATGCTTATCCAACGGTAAAGACCGGGCCATTACCTGTATCCACACGGAACATTTAGAAAATTTGAAGCATCTTTTGATATATATTGAGGGTGAAAATTTTCAAGCAATTGTTTACTAACCTGAATCTTCGGTATCACAGCTTTCATCCGCTCCAGAGACATGCTACGAAACTCAGGTCCTTCAATTGCTATACCACCCCGCGTGAGTATGCCACATTCTTTAGCAATGGCTTTAGCTGTATTTATATTGTCACCAGTGACCATACGTACAGTGATTCCAGCAGCTAAACAAGTCTGAACTGCCTCCCTGACTCCCGGGCGCACAGGATCCTTAATACCGACAACTGCTACCAATGTATAGCCATCATCTGGGATGCCATTTTCGATGGAAGAGTCATCTATATCCTTAAACGCTAAGCAGAGAGTTCTCAATGCTTCACAGGCAAAAGAATTTATGACATCCGTGATATTCTTTACCATTTCTTTGGAGAGATGAACAGATTCCCCAGTAGAGTCGATGTACTTGTTACATATTCCCAGTACTATTTCTGATGCACCTTTGCAAAAAGCTCGTGTTCCACCATGAGGATAAGCTACAAGCACATACATTTTCTTCCTGACAGAATTGAAAGGTTCGATCTTAAGAATCTTAACCTCTCCACGCAGGGCATCAAAATCGCCACCTAAAAGTAAACCGAACTCTAATAGTGCTGACTCTGTTGGTGTTCCCAAAATGGAGGTCTTTCCATCATCCTTAATAACCTCAGAACTTGTATTTTGGAATATAACCTGTAAAAGGATGCTTGATGCTCCAGATATTTCTGATATCAACATTTCTTTACTGTCATTTTCTTTTACATCTACAGATTTTTCACATATCCATACTTTGGTAACTACCATATGATTTGTAGTTAATGTTCCAGTTTTATCTGTGCAAATACAACTAGCAGAACCCATTGTCTCACATGCTGAGAGATGCCTTACAAGTGCCCTATCATTCATCAATTTTTTCATTGCAAAAGCAAGGCTCAGCGTCACTGCTAATGGTAATCCTTCGGGAACTGCAACAACAATTATAGTTACCGCAATAGCAAAGTAGTTCAAAAGGGTTACGGCGTCAGTTGAAGACCAATCAGTGATCTCGTTGTTAAGTCCTTTTGTCACCAAAAATCTTACCGTCAATACCAAAAATGTCAACACTGCAAAAGTCAAACCAATTTTACCAATAACTGTAGCAACACCATTAAGCTTCACCTGCAGTGGGGTCTCATCTTCTCCTCCTTCACTCAGAGTTTCCATCAACTTTCCCCATTCAGTCCTCATACCAACTGTAGTAGCTAGCATTTTACCTGACCCATCCTGCACTTTAGTTCCGGAAAGAAGAAAAGGCTTCTCTTCAGATACATTCACCGGCTCACTCTCACCTGACAAGCTTGACTCATCAATCAGCAAACTGTACCCAGATATGAAAAATCCATCAGCTGGAACTTGGTCCCCAATCGACAAATGCACAATATCTCCAACAACCAAGTCGTAAATGGAAACTTTTTGTCTTTTTCCATCCCTAGTGACCTGAACAAAAATCTTTTTCTTCTCCCTGTCCAAATCCTGGAATTGCAAAGACTGCTTGTAGTCACTAATGGCGGTAACCATAACCACTAGAATTATACTAATTAAAATTCCCAGACCATCGTACGTGCCTTTGGGCCAGCCTTCAGTGGCAATTCCAACTCCAATTGAAACCACAGCACAGACCATAAGGATTATTAATGTCAAGTCCTGTAGTGCTTCCCATACAAACACCCAAAAAATTCGGGGAGGTCTCTCCTTGTAACGGTTTAAGCCATAAACATTTTGTCTGATTGGTATATTACTATCCTTGACACCTTCATCTACCGAGACATTGAGTTTCCTTAAAATCCCGTGAATTCCACCATGGCTTTCCAGGGCCTTAATATCATGGGCACGTGTAATAGATGCAAGTTCATCTGGGTGAATGCTGAAACCTGCCATTCTGGCATCTTCTGACAGCTTGAGTTCATCCTGACCTAGCTTTTCAATAGATCCACGATCACCAGCTTCACAACATCACCAAACAAAGCGAGAAAAAGGATTCAAAATATGAGGTCAGCAAACACACAATGAAATTTCAGTTGAGCTATAAACTTAAAGACGATACCATCAATGAAATGCAGTGCTGCTTTTTGAACATAAAGAGCAACTCGAACCTTTTCCTGGTGAATCAAATAAGAATAACAAAGTCAAAAAAAGTAATGATAACCATGTCATACAGACCTATAGTTGCAGGAACTATCAAAGGGTGAAAAAGCTTCAACTGACAATAATAGTAACCGGCGGCTGGATTATAGCTACATGTGTGTCTGCAGTTCTACACACATTATATGCAGTTATTTTTCTCATGTAGTCCTTAAATAAAATAAGTCACATTATCAGTTGTTAAATCAGATATGGCTACTATCAATGCAACTCAGCTGTCTATACATGAGAAACACGGCCTCCTTCAAGGAACTTATGAGAATTTTTTTGTATACAGGGTAATAAAATTTGTTCTCAGGTCTGCGAATACAATCATTGACACAAGTTTTAACAAAAAATTGATATCACCTAATGGAGATCAACTGTTGAGAACTAGAACTTAAAACTAAGCTAATATAATTTTACACAAAACCTAGCAATACATTAGTAAATAAGAGTAAATTGGTTTGCCGTTGCTACTAACAAATCCTAAGAAATGACTTCTTATTCTATAAGGATTCCTACAATATGTATTAGAAATGAAAAAAATGAATCTTTTTTTTTTTTCTACATTACTAGTTAGATGGATGTCATGTCAAAATAATCCATGTTGGCGGATCACGTCATATAAAGGTTTCATGTCAAGTAATATTCACCCCTAATATGTTAATTTCATGTTGGTTTCAAGTATTGTTAATCAATTTTCAAAATATGGTCCATCATCCACTTACGAGATAAAAACATAAACAAAACTTATCC